TTTCAAAAAAGAGTCTCTCTAAAAATTCTCGGACGAACAGCGACAGCAGCCAATCCGATAAAATCACTGTCACAATACAACAGCCCAGTATGGGAAGGGGCAGGGATTCAAGCATTTTTTTCTCCTCGTACAGCCCACGGGGCGAATAAACAATTGGGGACAACATATGTTTGTTTTCACAAAAATGGTTTGTAGTTTTTCTACAGTGTCGTTCTGTAATGTAGCCGCTTTACATAGCAAAATGGTAAACACTGAAGTTTTGTCAGATGTACCAGCTTGTACAATCTAAAATCATTTACTTTTTGCCGAAAACTCAATAAATGGTAAGGTTCAAAGAAACTGCTTTTCAACTTGACCGGCATTTACTCATACAGTAGCTAATACTGTAATATGTTACCATCTTTCAACATATAAACAAAAAATCACAAAGACCCTCAGTACATAAATCAGAAAAAAGACCCCCCTCCCCAAAACAAAAACAAAAACCAGAACATATAAATAAGAATAACATACAGAAAAGGTCCTGCAGATAAGTAGCTTAAATAATACTTTCCAAAACCTTGAACGAAGGTTAGACATGAACCAAGCAGAAAAAAACATTAAAACTTGAATAAAAGGTTTAGCCTGAGCTGCTTTGCCGCACGCTATATTTTTAACGGACCAAAATATTTTGTATAAAATAAAATATAAAACCTATGAGATAAAACTTAAAGCGGACCTTGAAGTAAAACGTAAGGGTCCATTTACACGGTCCGGGCCACACCGCTCTTCAATTAATAGGTGTAAAAAGTGCCTCTAAAGAATGAAGTTGTTGGTTATACGTACCTCATCCCATCTTCCACCCATGGCCCTCTAGGAGAGAATGGCATCACGCTCCTTCTGACAAGATCCTGAGGACTACAGAGCAGCTGAAATCTCAGACTCTTGCAATGGACTGGAGTGTCTTCTTGCAAGATTTTGCCTGCACTGCATTCTCCAGGAATCTTCCTGGAAGGATGGTGACGTCACTACCAGCAATGCTGAAAACGGGGGTGAGGTACATTTTACACCTACTAACAGCAGGTAATTTGTAAAAGGAGGAGGGCACCTGAGCAATTTAACCGGACCTTACATTTTACTGCAAAAGCCCCCCGTAATATCTATTTCAACAATATGCAGGCAAAAGCAATTTAAGTGACAAGGCATAAGACATATTACACTTTGCTCTTATCAATGCATTATGGCTGACCTGCATTCACTTACTCCTACAAGAACAAGTTTAATCATCAATCCTTTTACCCTTTTTCCCATGAATATATAAACAGTATTATGGGATAGGGGATAATTTTTAAGGATTGTATGAAATCTAAATACCCCCCCCAAAAAAAAAATCAGAAAAGTTAAAGTTCTTCATTTTCAAGCCTGGTGGCTGTTTTAGCAGCTGTGTTAATTGGTGGCAAAGCCAATGCTGGGTTATTTGGCAATCAAGTCCCAATTAGCGGATCGTACCCCAAGCAACCTGCTTCCTATTTATATTTATTAGAATTTGTTTTCCCATTTGTGCCTTCTACTATAGAGTGGAACACTTGCATAATATGAAAAAATTAAATGAAATAATAATTCACCAGAGCAATACCAGATATACCGAATATGCACTCGGTACACTAGGTCTGAACTGCTTAGGTAACCCTTAACCTCAGTTATAAGTAAGGAAAGAAACAAAAATGAACAACGAAGTGCAGTGTCCTCATGGGGGGAAATTGCACACACATACATATAAAAATGTGTATATATATATATATATATATATATATACATACATACATAATACACATATATATATGTATGTATATATAGAACATAGTGTGGCCAAAGTCATTGCTACTGGCCACATTTAACCTCTCCCCTCCCAGGGCTGAGAGGTATGACAAAGCAGCAAAATACACAATCCGTACAAGTCTGGCTGGCATGATATACAAGAATGTTATGTTTTGCACAGTGCATCACATATGGCCTTGTCCAGGCTACTTCTGAACTTGTAGTAGCTGTTCATTCCTGAAACCTCAATACAATTCATGTTTTTCCTTGCGGTGGGAAGAATAGGTTTGTAATGGAACAAAATGGATGGCTGTGGCTCAAAACCAGCTGGATGAATGCAGTCCAAGCCCGTTGCAAAACTCAGAATGTCTTCCAGTGAAACAGCGGTAGCTCCATCTGTAGATAATGAACATGTGAATTTATAACAGTGAATAGACAACATGTTCAACATTATAAAACAAGATGCAGTGCAACCCCGTCCTTAATACAAGTTGTTGAAAACAGACATTTGTTGAAAAAAAGCAAAAATAATTACCTTTCTTCCTGCCCGCTCCACCAGATCATCACTTCAAACTACAAGAAATCTTCATGTTAACTCGGCAGGGAAGGTTTCTGGGAGTGTTGATCTCCTCTGCCCCTTGCAGCTTTGAATGGTTTCTCCTGCCAATATTCACATTTTTTAAAAACTGCAGCAGATCAAGAAGATTGACATTTCTGAAATTGTCAGTCTCCTTGAGGACTTCACAAAGACTTCTAGGTGGCTGAAGAAGTGGTGTTCTGGCAAGGCAGGCAGTAGGAAGGGAGAGTATTCACTTGCTTATTTTCCAAATATGCCCGTTTTCAATTATTTGTGTTAACAACAGGGTCACTTTCAAGCATCAATTAAAATAGAACTAACCTTCTGAGTCTTGAAGATACTTCTTCCAAAGGTTGGCAGCATTATACTTATGAATAATGTCTGAGTTGGCATTATGATTAATGGTAAACAGTTCAGCCACAGCCTCGGCAGTTAGCCTTTCAGGTTTCATGCACAGGACACTCCAAAATGCAGCTGGATAGGCTTGGATTTTCTCAAGCACACCTAGTGTCTGTAGCCCCTGTTTAAAGCTGAAAGTATAAAAAAATAAATAAAAGATAACATTTTGTGGAAAATATCACTCAAACCATTGTGTGCTGCTATGCTCACCATTATAGTGCATTGGTTCCTCTGCTGCGCTACTCTCTAGGAGTGTATGCAGCCAGCTGCATTAATCAATGTAAAATGGATTGCTAGCTGGCGCGTCAAATTATTTAGACCCAGAGATGCATAAAGTAAAGCTGAACTCCAAGAAAACAGCTAAATAGATTGTTTAATAGATTTAGTTCTCAGATTTACAAAGCTTTGTCACAGCACAACCAGGGTAGGAGACCTGATTTTCTCCACTGCAGTTCAGTGACACCTACAAGTCTCCTTTCCAACCTCACACTATAATTGGACAGTGAAAAGAAGAAACCGCAGACTGATGAGCTAATTTCTCTGTCAATCAGCCATCTCCTCCTATCAGCATGCTCCTTGCACACAGCAAGTCAAATTAGGTACTTATACTGCCTACATTTAAAAAAATACATTAATAAATGACTAATTACAGAAATCATTTGTGTCTTTATATCTGCCTAGAGTAAAACTTTAATGTGAAAATGATTAGCGCTATATTAGTACATGATCAGTGACCTGTAGTGACGTAGCTACCAGCATGTGGAATCACAGCAGGGGAACAGGCATCTGATAAATGCGAAAAACTGACATGCTGAGGAATCTGTCAGCGGCTTTGTACTATAAAAAAGAGTAAAGATTTGCTGGAAAGGCAAGTTCAAATGTGCGTGTGTCTGTGTGGTCCTTAACCCCTTCATGACTGAGGCCTTTTTTCATTTTTTGTACCCATGTTATATTCCACATTTTAGGCCTGAAAATTACTTAAAACCCCCCAACATTATATATTTTCTGAATGCCAAGACCCTATAGAATAAAATGTTGGTAGTTGCAAATTTTTATGTTGCGCAATATTAGCGCAACTCCTTATTAAACCCCAATATTTAGTGAAAAATACTGTACGTCGTCAGTCACGAAGGGGTTAAATGAACAGGGTTGCTTTAAAGGGTAATTCCACTTTCCCAGGCGAATGTAAGAAAATGTAATTACCCCCGGCAATCTGGACCCCTCTCCCCCTGCTATACTTGCCTTTCGACTAACGCTCCCTCCCACAGCACTGCGCACTGTATTTTTAATTTTGTTTGCATACCGCGAGCACTCATTAGTCAGCATCGCTATACTGGGGGAGGTGGTAATTTCATTTCCCTAAACTCACCTGGGAAAGTGGAATTACCCTTTAAAGCTTTCTTCATAGTGTATTATATGGAATATATTAGCTTGTTTATTTGTAAATACAGTGCAAGGCTGACACTGCAAAAGGAAAATACACCTGTAGCCTTTCCCAGAAGAAGCATGGCAGAATAGTACAGAAGTGAGGAATTTTTAATTTCAAGAGGGTTAAAAATGAATTACCTTTCAAGTGGTTCCTGCACCCTGTGAATGACATGGTAAGTTAGCATATTCTTCACCAGGTGAACTTTATCGCTTACGGACTGTACAAGTCGCAATGTGTCAGTCTTCTGCAGGTAGTCAAAGTAATGGAAAATAGCTTCCTTTAACTCGCCAATCCTCTGGCAAGACTGAATCTATCACAAAGAAGAAAATTGCATTATTTGCAACACTTACAAGTTATTATTGTTATTACTAAGAGAGGCATTTGTGCAAATGTTTTTTTTTTTCTTAAAAAAGGGAGGAGAACTACGGGGTCAGGGCTTTTCCCCATAGTTCTGCTCAGGGTCACGGGAGGACATAAACTAGCGTCCTCCCGTGACCCAAAGCTCAGTATACCGCGAGCTGTATACTGAGACCGCCGCAGCCGGGACGGATCCCGACATTACTGGTCGAGATCCACCCAGCTGCGTGATTGACAGCTGGCTCTGCCTATGTAGAGGCAGAGCCAGCTGTACCCGACCCTTCAAAGTCCGTTCCTCCAGTCAGGGCAGGAAGATCGGACACGGGAGGGGGGGGGCGCGATCCCTGCATGGAGCAGTGAGTGACAGTCACGGCTCTCTGCAGGGACAGGATTGAGAAGTGAGCGAACAACGGTATGTGTTCGCTCACTTCCCGATCTATTGAGCCGACCTGTGATAGTTTCATTGTCACACGTCGGCTCGAACTATGAGAATGGGTGAAAATCACTCACCTCATAGTTCTCCTTTAATACTAGCAGATTTCCTTAACAGCCATTTTCTTTACAAACAACACACACACATTTGTAGTAGGTACTAAGAATTGTATGAAGAGCTATTTTGCAATGGCCACATAAAACTGTAATGCTTGCATTACCTTTTTTTTTTCTTAAGCATTATGTTGACAGTAAAACGCATGCCTCCAATTGCCATCCACACTTACCAGGCACCAAAGCCTAACTCCAGTGTATGGCCAGTACTAACAATAGAAACTTGCTTTGTGATGTACTACAATCTCAAAACAAATGAGTAAACTAAACATGAGATTGTAGTCCATCACGAGAGCGAGCTTGGAGCGGTGACTATTTTACAACACACACACAGGGACCATGGGGAACAAAAGTAGTCACCCTCCAGAAGGAAGGACAGTGTCAGCACCAATTCAGATATGATTTGAGGATCTACAGCTGAGTTATACACAAATAAGATACATTTTTGTTAATAATTAAGGTACTTGAATGCATTTTTAAAATGTAACTCCTGAGTTTAGTGTCACTTTAATTTCTATTTTATATCCTTTTGAAGAATTCACCACCTCCACCAAGCTTCAGTACAATGTCCATCCAAAACAAAAAGCATTTTTGCATATAATATTCACTATTAAATTAAAATAACATATTATACAGTATTAAAATGGACAATGCCTCCAAAGAAGGAATCATTAATTTGCAAGATTTTGATAATCATAATTTGCAAAGGGAAGTAGTGAAGTTTCTGCTTACACTTACCGTTACTATTGCTTCTAAGACATCAGGATCTGCTACATCTTCTAACACTGGCTGAACATGCTGAGAATCCGAGATCAGACAAGCAAAGAGTGTTTGAGAAAGAAATCCTGGAGGCAGTCCGCCATGGACTAAAGCAATCGCCAACATTCTACCAGCTTCGAAGTACAGGTTATCTTGGAGAGCTGAGAGGGGACAATGCACATAAGAGCTGGATCAATATAGACATATTGTCAATCATCACAGAAATGATACATTTTCCAAACAAAACCAGCTATCCACATTGACAGGTCTATGTCTGCCTCAACACTGAAAGGATTAGGGAAAGTTAGAAGAAAAAGGAAAGTTCTACAAGGGGGCCATGGCATTAAAAGGCCTCAATACATTCTGCTGTGATGCCCTGCATTTAAAATCTATACCTAGCTACTTGTTTTCTTATACATAGTTCTCATCTGTTAGTAGTGTCTCAAAATCTGCATTAGTGAACACTAGAATCATATAGGGAAAATTTTATATAAACTCAAGAAAAGGGTAGACTAAACTCCATGCTCAGAGGTTTACTTTAGCATAGTAAGCAACTAAAACATAATACAAAGTTGCTGACGAGAACTATCTTACCATTTGGATTTAAAGAAAGATTCTTCCGTTCAGATCCTTCAAACACATCAGAGTTCTCGATCTCATTCATCAAAAGTTTGAAATACTGAGAAAGGGACAGGTTTGCTTTCTGGTTTGAATTTTCTTTACTCTCTTTGATGGATATATGCAGAGTGCTACACGGAGAAAAGTTCCTTTTGCGGAAACAGCAAATGGAACTTTTCCAAAGAGACTTCCTCTTCACCTTTATTGTACACACAGAGTTCAGGATCTGAGTCCTCAGTTCCCCCAATATATCAGATATTTGCCTGCTTTCCATTTTAATTTGCCTGAAAAGAAAAAAGAAAAGACCCATCTAAATGCCTTTAAGGAATCTGAAAACTAGGGCAGTTTTCTTTATAACTGTATACCCCCAAGCTCTGAAATATAGAGAAGCATTAGTATGTAAAGCAATGGCTCTCAGTTTAACCTCTTGCCGTCCGCCCGTAGTAAAAAAACGGACGGACGGCACTGCAGCATCTGCGGGTTGCCGTCTCCAGACGGCAATTTTTTTCTGCTCGCGCGCGCCCCCTAGCGGGCACGCACGGGCAGAAAAGACCCGCTAAATGCACACACCCGTTACCGGGTGTTTCACATATAGGCGATCGGCGGGTCCATAGCCCGCCGATCGCCTATATGTGCTCGTTCGCGGCACCCCCCCCCCCGGGACCGGCTCGGAGGGCGTCAGGAGGAGGAGGACGGGAGATCAGCTCCTTGCTGATCCCCGTCCGGGCTGTGAATGCAGAAGTGATGTGTGTTACATCACTTCCGCATTCACCTGTCAGTCATCTGGAGAGAGAAGAAGCTGATAAAGCAGATCTCTGCTTTATCAGCTTCTTTTGGGGTCCATAGGTGATATTAGGGGTCCTAGAGACCCCTAATATCTCCATAAAGAGGACCTGTCAGTGTGCCTTTGCTATTATATAGGGGGTTGTTATCCCCCTATATAATAGCAATAACAATAAGTGCAAAAAAAAAAATATAAATAAAAAAAAAGAAAAGTAACACATAAAAAAATAAAATAAAATAAAAGCCACATATAAAAAAAGGGGAAAAAACCCCCCCAAAATGTTTAACTCCCCCACCCCCACGTTTACGCGCCTATAAACGTAAATACGCGTCCGGTGCCCCAGCGCGCAAAAATTACAATTGCGCTACACATGTTACATATCGCCGCGAACGTCGCAGTGAGAGCAATCATTTTAGGGCCATCAATCACTGATAACACTAAACTGATGAGCGGTAACAGCTTTTAAAGCGTCGCCTAGGGCCAATTTTGGGTATTATCGTTTTTTGAGGTTTCGCGCGCGCACGCAATTTTAAGGCTTGACATGTTTAGTGTCTTTTTACCCGACGTGACCCCATCTTTTATATTTTACCAAAAAATTGGGTAATAATAAATGTTTTATCATTTAATATAGGGGAAACTGTTTTTTTTTTTAAATTTCGGTAATTTTTCCTTAATATAGTAAAAAAATAAAACCCCCAGTGGTGAATAAATACCACCAAAAGAAAGCTCTATCTGTCCCCAAAAAAGGGTATAAAATTCATTTCAGTACAGCGCTGCATGACGGAATAAATGTCAGTCAAAGTACCGCAGCGCTGAATACTGAAAAATGGCCTGGATGGGAAGGGGGTTTAACACCGCGGATGTCAACTGGTTAAAGTGGACCCAAACGCAAAAGAAAACGTTTGCTAACCGATAGGGAAAATCTACAAATATTAATTGTACACAAGCAGTACTTTGAAAGATCTATCTGTCTTTTATTCCTCTTCATAAAATGGTAGTACATTTCCAGTGCCTAAAACCTCATACCTATATCTGCAGTGTAAGAGCATCTACGGCATTGCTGCATGTGACCATTAGTCTCACAAAATGTAAAGTGAGATTTGGTGGTGTGCTGTGCTGCTCACTGTTGCTGCTGAAATGAAAGCTGTACCTGGGGACTTACAGCGCAAGGTTCTCCCTGCTTCTCCTTCAATAATTCTAGTGTCCTGTGCTTTCTGGACCTCACCTGCTGCTTCTTAAATCAACAGCCCACAAGTTGTTCTATCATTATCGGGGGGCAGTTCTGACATGCGGGAGTAAAGCCCTGGTCCTTTGGGGCAGTGTGAAGCAACGCATGGTAAGTCAGCAAAAAAAAAAGTCAGCTGCAGTACTGGAGACTAGTTCTTTGTCTTTCGATTGCCTTTGCTTCAGCTTCCACAGTCCAGGTCCTTTTTAAAAACCAATAGTTGGATACCTGTCCATTTCTTGCTCTCCAATTAAAAAAAAAAACAAGTTTAGGCTTTGGATACACTATACTTCAAAAGGACTGCAACTGTGACAAATCTGTGCTTTTTTAAAATGTGTATACTGATAATAAAAGTAGCATTCAGTGCTCAAAACATTTTCAATAGTGAGTCCAGATCAAACAAATATACACTCACTGGCCACTGTATTAGGTACACCTTGCTAGTACTAGTAGTTTGTCTTCAGAACTCCTTTAATTCTTCGTGGCATTGATTCAACAAGGTGATGGAAACATTCCTTAGACAGTTTGGTCCATACTGACATGATAGCATCACACAGTTGCTGCAGATTTGTGGGCTGCACATCCATGATGCGAAGCTCCACCAGCCTGACCCGTTAATACAAGGCAGGATGGATCCATGCTTTCATGTTGTTTACATCAAATTCTGACCCGACCATCCGAATGTCACAACAGAAATGGAGACTCATTAGACCAGGCAAAGTTTTTCCAATCTTCTATTTGACAGTTTTGGCAAGCCTGTGTGAATTGTAGCCTGTTTCCTGTTCTTAGCTGACAGAAGTGGCACCCGGTGTGGTCTTCTGTGGCTGTAGCCCATCTGCTTCAAGGTTCAATGTGTTGTGTGTTCTGAGATGCTCTTCTGCATACCTCAGATGTAACGAGTGGTTAGTTGAGTTACTGTTGCCCTTCTATCAGCTTGAACCAGTCTGGCCATTCTCCTCTGACCTCTGGCATCAAAAAGGTATTCTTGCCCAGAGAGCTGATGCTCGTTGGATATTTTATCTTTTTCAGACCATTCTCTGTAAATCCAAGAGATGGTTGTGTATGAAAATCCCAGTAGATCAGCAGTTGATGAAATACTCAAACCAGCCCGTCAGGCACCAACAACCATGCCATGTTCAAAGCCACTTAAAATCACCTTTCTTCCCCATTCTGATGCTCAGTTTGAACTTCAGCAGACCATATTGACCATGTCTACATGCCTAAATGTATTGAGGTACTGCCATGTGATTGGCTGATTAGATATTTGTGTTAACGAGCAGTTGGAGAGGTGTACCTAATAAAGTGGCCAGTGAGTGCACATTGCCCAGCAAAGTATTTCTTTACATTTTTTCTTCAAGCACGTCATCATCATTTTGCCAAACAGTTGGCTCCAACTCTCTCAGCTCCACATCCCTGAACTTCCTGTCCAGTACAAGCTCACAAGGGAGAGCAGTCTCCAGCAGCTGTCTGTCTATCTACTAGTTTGAAGAGGAGGGGGAGAGTAAAGTCGTGCCCTGCTATACCTGTGTGTTTGTGGAGACACACACGAGTGTATCTTCATAGGACCCTGCAGGGGAAATTAGTCACCCTAAAGCAGGATATCAGGGCCAGAGATTTTGCAGGATGCTAAAACTTTTAAACATCAAGGAGCAGCAGCCATTGTATGTAATTTAATCATCATTTTAAAAACATTTTGACTTTAATGTTTTTATATATTATTTTTGTTTTCTAAGATGTTTAGCTCATTGGCCTAAAACAAAGCCTAACCATTCAGTCATTTAATTTGCAGATACATGATGTTGTATGCAGTACTGGGTTTGATACTTACTTTAAGATAACTCTCCTGGGAGTTTTTGATCGCCTGCGGCATTTTGGTGATGGTTGCCCAACCCCAGTTTCTGTACCGTTAGATGCATTATGGGATGAGGGATGTGGTCTCTTCACTGCTTGCAAGAAACAAGTCATAAGGTCACATTCTGGAACTCATTACATGTCTAATACCTTTTCCATGAATAATGGTCAATGGTCAAAAGGCTTTCCGATTTAAAAACCTTGTAACCAATGAGGGATTGTAATTCTAAACCCAGCAACACTTCCTGTCCTAGGGTGACAACTGTCATGGACTTGATCTTTCGTCGTTACCCTAGGCTGCTCTCCTGCTTTGGACAACACACACCTACTCCTCGTCACATCTCTAACAGAGGGAGATGTTGTGTAATTCATAGAAATGAAAAAACAAATGGGAGGTCTGATAACATGGTTTGAGATTTCAGTGCAGTGCATAGGAAGCAGCAATACATCAAATTACTGTTTTTGGGTTCAGTTAATCTACTGCAAACAAAAAAGGACGTTTTTTGATGCAGCAAGAGCTTGGCATTCTCTTTCTATCCTGTGATTTAAAACATTTTCTAAAAGGTGATTTTAACTGAATTCAAATAAAATTTAGTAAAACAGATACATGTGTTAGACTCAAAGTCTTAGTAAATCACAGGGCCTAGAAATCAAGTGGGATTCAACCAGGAGACAGGAACCATATCACTATAGCCCTCAATAGTAAATGGAAGAAGCAAATCCAAACTCCCTCAAATTTGATTTCTTACCAAATTTATTTGAACAATTCCTTCATATAGATAGACCTTAAAATGGAAGAGCGGAGCAAGGTCAAAATCTTCCAATGAAGAATGAGAGGTCCAGAATATAATATAATTAGGGATGCACCGATACATAGCGTCGTGCTTTACATTTTTTAATAGCATCGGGCTGCTTTTTTTTTGGACAAGCGAAATCATGTCTACAGCATTTTCACAAGACTAAAAGGTGAGGCATCATTCAAACCAGTAAAAGGACTGGCAATGGATCGCTGGGTAGACAAGTCTGCAAGGAAAGAGCTACAAAAAGAAGGATGAGTACTGCAGTGAGAGGTGCATTTTTTAAAGCTAGTGAGCAACCTTTTGAAAAAAAAAAATAAAACAAACAAACGGGCTTTAAAAACTAAGAATACCATCTTAGAGAATGTGGCAATGTTGTTGTCAATGAAGGACAAATTGGAATAAAAGTATTTATGCAAACAAACTGGTTTACCTGGTGTGCAGCTGATACTCCGACAGTCTAAGCATTCCCATGTCTGATTCATGTGTTCTAAGGAGGAGCAAGCCATATGTGTACCACTAGATCCACAACACTGGCAGCATACAATCTCCCATTTGCTGTGGGTAAAAACAAGTCAGTGTGATCCTGACTGTTCTATGACCATGTATTGCTACTGTAGATTTTAACAAATCATGATTAAACTTGCGCCTAACCATCCCTGACGTCTATAGTTACGTAGTGTGAAGTCAAACATCACAACAAACCAGGTCCTTTCAGTCAGTTTTCTCACAGCTTATAAACATCAGTTGTTTCTTGCTTCCATAGAAATTCATGGTGAACATTAAGAGCCATTTCACACCACAAAATCCACGTTCCAGTGCGTTCAGCCTCTGGAACACAAGCCGGCTGGCTCAGTGCTTGCGTTCTGGTCTAGTGCAATCTGCAAAAATACGGCAAGCACTATTTTTGCAGATTGCACTAATGTGCCTCTGTTCCGGATGCAGGCAATCGCACTGCGGGCATGGCTGAGGAGCCATTGACTTCAATGCACCACCACGCCCCCTCCAGGCCCTGAACGCAGGGAGCTGGCCAGCTTCCGTTCCAGAGGCCGAACGCTCTGGAACGCAGACTTTGTGGTGTGAACCCGGCCTAAGCGACAAATGCTCAAAACAAGGAATCTCATGCGCTTGTCGAGTGTGTCACCAATCGGAAACCCATTCATTATTAAGGCCCCTGTTAACACCTAAGCATTTTGTCGCACAAAGTTTTCCACTAACGTCTATGGGACCAAAAAGCGATGTAATCTGACAAAAAGTAACTCGTACTTTATCCAGCGACAGGCGTATTTGTGTTTGCGACAAAAGCGGTCAGTTATGAACAGGGGGGGTCATAGAAATAAAAAGGGAATCTTTGTCCCCTTTAAGCGACAAAACTCCTAGGCGTGAATTGGGACATAGGGCTCATTCACACACCCAGAGTGCCATATTTATGCACCTGGGAGATGCTGGTGTTCCATGCAGCCATATAAAATCAATGATAGGCTAAAAGGCACAGTGGCTGTATGGATCGCCCTGCACATACAGGCTTTACATCCATGCAGGGAGGGATGCACAGCCCTGGATGCAGTTTTTCTGTGCCCTGCTTCCGTCCATGTACAGATGTAAAAGGTCTGATGTGCAGGAAGAGCCATACAGCCGCTGGGTCTGCCAGCTTATCACTGAACATTTTTACAGACTGCTGGTCACAGCTGCAAGAAACATATGTGACTCCCAAGCGCATAAACACAAGCATGTATGGACCTCGGTGGCCATGTGAATAAGCCCATAAGATGAATTTTTCCAGAACGCCTACTGCTACAGAGGGCTTGATTTTTTATTTTAATCTATTTTTTTATTATCTCTATTGAAAAAAGGTACAAACCATTTATACTGGCATGTCATATTTACCAATACCTCCCAAACCATTCCAGGCACAGCTCAAACACGTGCGCCACTAAGCCACAACCTACCATGCTATCCTTACTGGCCCATCACAATGAAGAGCCGCTTCATTGGCCAACAGAAATATGCAGGCAAGCTGCAGTACTAGTGATGACACTTTGCCTGTCAGAACAACCTGGCATTTGGTTGTGAGGGGAAGGCTTTGAGAAAAGTTCCTGCTAAAGGTAACTTAAACTGACTTTTAGATTTGAGCTAGATAGCATTAGTAGTTCATTGCCTGGTTTCATGTATTGCCTGAACTGCTCTTTAACACCTCACAGAAAACAGTGGGCGATGACAAAACCAGATGCTCACCTTTCTGGCTCACTATATTCCCGACCAAACCGGCACACACACTTTTTAACATCACAGTGCTGATATCTGACCAACAGCTCTTGAAAAGCATTTTCCTCCAATTCCCATGAGGCATCTCTACACAGATAAGAAAAAGACACAGCTGATGAAAAACAAACATTCGTTTACCTCTCAGCGAAGACATTTTTCTTTGCAAAACAATAATATAATAGCATGCACCTATTTTACAAGTGGGTGAGCTGGAAGCATGGCGTAGATTATGAATAAAAAAAGTAAAAATCAAATGATAGCTATACTATTGCAGCTCTCTACTGCCCGGTGGAGCCACAACAGGGTCCTCTGGAAGTCATGTTGTATGGGGTGAAAGGATGAGAGTAAAAAAAACTATAACAAATGTACCTTTCAGGAATATGGATTCCCATGTGTAGCATCTCTTTCTGAAACAGGTCCTTATTGTTACACACTGTGCAGCGGAAGAAAAACAATCCAGCACTAAGTGCTTGGTACTGTTGATGAGATAGTAAAATGCAGTCAGTTCAATGTTGCATAGAAAATCACAAGATAAGTCCAGTTTAACTGCAAATGTATCTAACAGTAAACAAGTCACTTTAGTAAATGAAGCATTACAAATAAATCAGAAACCTGTAAAGTGTAGGAGGGGGATTACAGAGTAAAGGCTTTAGAAATTATCTTTTCTTCTAGGTGACTTATATCATATCTAATGGCCATGCCATACTGTAAAATATTCCCCTACAGGGAACTTCTAGGTTATACTAGCTTTATTTCCCCAAAGCAGACAACATTATTACAGCTCATCAGACAGGATGATTACACATTAAAATGCATTACTTGGCAAGATTTTCCTGTAAACTCAGCTTTAAGCTGCCCATACAGCTTTTCTTCGTTCAACCTACAGGCTGAAAGAAGAAAATATAACAGATTCCTCCTTCAACACCAACGAGCGTTGATTGAGGAATCTCCTGCTGTCTTCATTATATTTTAATAGCAGCTGCTGGCTCTGTTTGTTAGAAGATTTTTCAACCAGCACCTTTGATCAGCTGGTCGAGGAATTCCAGTTGAAAGGGTGCAGACAGGGGCCCTCACTATACAAATTTTAGCCAGTTCATCAAAAACCAGATGAAATTCACACAGTGTATGGCCAGCTTAACTTCAAGTGCAGCTACGTTCATCCAGAATGCAAAGCATAAAGATGTAAATTATACATCATACCCAACTGGTGAATTGTAAACAGGGTGCTGGACCCAGATCTTTAGGTGGTAGGTGCAATGTCTTGTGTTTTGCATCAATGGCCTGGGTTTGGCAGCTGCTAACAAATGGCCTTCTCTACAAATCCAGGGGTCTCCCAGTTCAGGAATGCTAAACTACATGTAATATGATGGCTGAGCCAGACACATATCCATTCAGCAATATAGTGGTGATCAGCTTCTGTGAGGTTTCTAAATATAGTATGAACTTTCTACATACTAAATCATCTGTATTTTCTTATAAAAAGGTAGATAATTATTACTGCATCAACCAATACTTATTTCTGTATGTATTACTGTAAGGAGGTTTACACAAATGCTGTATAAAAGCACAACAGTGGTTTTGGCATAGTTATTTTAATCCGCATATTACAAAGGACTTTATGTAAGGAAATTCCAGGGCAGAGCTCATACCTGCAGACATTCTCTATGAAACCATGATGTTTTGCAACACGGTCCTCGTAAGATATGGTAAGAAGGAACATGGTTCACTGGTTCCAAGCAAATTGTGCAGGGTGAAGATTCACCAGGTTCACTTTGTAGAAATGTTTGCACTGGTCGATGATCCCAGCAGTATGACCTAGACAAAAAAAATAACCCAAATAGAGGTTGTAGTACAGTAATATCTGAGCTGCCCATATTCATATAGAAGAAACATATAAGTGAAGTACTAAATAACGTTCTTACTTTACAGGTAACATTTGGCCATACGATCTGACAGACATTTTTCAGGGGAAAGGGCTTATATATTATAAGCTGACCATGCAAAGTACCTTTATTGTGACAAACGTGACACCCCAATGGCCCCCATCACACTCTGTAGCCAATAAGGATCGAGTAAACATAAATGGTCCATATAGTGAACTTGGTGCCAAATTATTCACTTTAAAAGGTAACTGCAAAGGACAAGGGGGCACTCTTTGCATCTGGAGAAGAGGTTTAACCTTCGCATACAGAAAGAATTCTTCACAGTTAGAGCTGTGAAAAATGTGGAATAGACTCCCCCAGGAGCTAGTTCTAGCTAGCTCAGATAACTGTTTTACAAAAAATCTTGATGTATTCCTAAATGCACAGAATATTACTGGATATTGAGTTCTTATAGGTATATTAAGCATCAGAGATTGTTGATCGAGGGAATATCCGATTGTCTTATGGGATCAGGAAGGAATTTTTTCCCCCTGTTGGAGCAAATTGAACTATACTTAATAAGGGTTTTTTGCCTTCCTCTGTATCAACAGTGGGTAACTGTGGGCATAGCGTTCTGTTTTAGGTTTTTCATATCTATAGGATGAACTCGATGTACTTGTGTCTTTTGTCAACCTAACTATGTGACTATGTAAAAGAAATGGATCAAGCTGGAATCAAAATGCAACTCTCCATAACAGAGAAACACCTCAATTTGTTGCCAAACCTATAAAATGCTACTATAGGTGGACAGTATATGACTGGTGTATACATGGAAAAGAATCGAGTTAACCACCCAAATAAGTGCTAGGTAATCAGGAAATATATGAATGCTACAAAAAAGCATCAAATAAGATGTCTCCTAGAGAAAACAGTGTATTCCTGCTCATTCTCTTTTTGGAGTGACACATACAATGCCATTATCATCCTTGCACTTTATCAAAACAATAAACTGCAGCGGTCTCCATTTATCAGAAGAGCCATCTTTCTAGCCCACCAATTAAAAAAACCCCAACACATGTACTGAAAATTATTATAATAATATCTCAAGTGCACTCAGCTCCCCCCACAATTAAAAGAAATAGCCACAATCTTGTGCTAAAAATGTCCAAGTGCATTGCTACCACCAATGTCTATAAATACTGCACACAAATTACATGTAACCAGCAAACACAAAGTCCATTCCTTCAGATAAAAATATAATAATGGATAATTGGGAAATCCAATAAATAAACTTCAAAATAAGGCCACCACAGATGCTTAATCAAAGAGTGCTCCCCAATCAGTGCTCATTAAACATTTTTCTGAAATCAGAAAGTCTCGTGTTCATAGTATCAATCCACCTCCTTGTGCCGTGTGTTGAAAAATCTGTCACCACTCTTGACACTGCACTCACCTAACTCCAAAAGATGGTCGGCAGCTTTTTGTTACAAATCTCAAAACTGTACAGCGATCCCAGGACCTAACAGGCAGTAGTATATATCCAAAGCCCAAAATTGGGATACGTACCACTCAGAAAAGAGATACAAAACCAACATTGTGCAAAACTCTTTTAAAAAGTACTTTTTTTTTTTTTTTAAATGGTTAGCAAAAACAAAACAAACAAAAAAACCCCCCAAAACACCATACATTTCCAACTTCTCACAAATTGCATATCCATATAAATATCGATCTCTTCCTAAAAAGCTGCTTACACTATCCACATGTCCACCAGCCCAGAATGAAAGCTCTGTCTCCCCTCCGGATAGGGAAATTATGTAAAACAGTTCTTACACTTCCTGGAGCGGTGTCAGAGGACGTAATGCAGCGCTGTGACAGTGTGGACACGCCCACCCGTCACGTTTTGCCATCAATTGACTTTCTTTTTTTCATTAAGCATCTGTGATGGACCGATCTTGAACTTGATATATTAGATGACCAATTTTACAATATTATATTTTTATCTGAAGGAATAGACTTTGTGTTTGCTGGTTACATGTAATTTGTGTGCAGTATTTATAGACATTGGTGGTAGTATTGCACTTAGACATTTTTAGCACAAGATTGAGGATATTTTTTTTTTTTATCGTTTGCGAGGGGGGGAGCGTAGTGCACTTGAGATATTATATTCAATGAATGATACATCATTAGAGCACTTGCAGCTATTTATTTCATTTATTTACTTTTCTAGTCATAGTTAATATAGATATATATCTAGATCTATATATAGATCTATATATAGATATATATATACATACATACATCACACACCTTGAGAAATTTGATGGTGTCTCACCAGTCAGTCAAAAATTTTGTTCCACAGAACACAACTATTATTCAGGAATGCCTACCTGAAGCTGTCCATGAACTGGAATATACACTGCCTTTCCAGGCCACAAGGATAGTGGTAGCTGCGTTTACACCGAGGAGTCACACAGCCAATTGACGCTCCAAGCATTTTACATACATAGCACCTCTGAAAAAGGTAAGAAAAGAACATGTGTAATATTCCTTACATGGGGAAGAGGTTAATAAGAATCTTCAGAGAATGTGAATTCTTATGCTTACCAGTCTCTTGGCTCTACTCAGTTCTTTCTTAATGTCACTAACCAAGAAACCATATATTCCTTCATGTTCTTCCCCTCTTTGCCAAATACCACTGGAAAGCAGCTACAGAAAGTAATTGATAAGAGAAATGATTCACCGATAACACTTCAGGAGCTCATAGGCAATTAAAATATTTACATTTTAGTGAACCTCTAAGAGAAATACGGGAGCTGCCACTGTTTTCCTCCTTCAGAAAATACTAGTTGCTTGGTTGCTGGCTTTAGCAGTGTTCAGGTCACTGACATAGAGCAAATAGGCTTATAAAGAAAGTTATGTTGTCATATACAAAAAGGTATTCAAGGTTACCAGAGGGTCATCATGACAGGCAGGCAAATGGCATTTGCAGGATAAGAAGCAACAGTGCCCTCCCTTAATGTGTCCTATAATGGTTTCCAATAAACATTTTCCTACAACTGCCCTTTGTAAGCTTCCTCCGGCCTAAAATGGCAAATAAAAGATCATGGGATATTTCTCAGCAAATGGAAATCCTGTTCATATTGCCCATTCATATTGTAAGAGCCTTCCCTTTCAACTAGCAGTAACCCATTCTGGTTTTTAAAAAGCTGTGTAGATTGAAATCAGAAAATGTAATTGCTTCTGCACAGAATTAAAGATACAATAGTCTACTAATAACTTATTGATGCAATAAAAAACGATATGATACATGTACTGGTTTATCCAGCCCTGCTCCCCCCCTCTTGTCCAATCACAGTAGTGTTAGGACTGAATTACACTTTAAGTTTTTCCTAACACTGCAGCCAGCCACACATGGGACACCCACTATTAAATGACAAATTATTGGTACATAAACACATATACATAGTTGTTTTTTTCTGGAGTTCTGCTTTAACACAGCATCTGATGGGCATACAAGACCAGCCTGGAATGTTCATTATGTGGTTATGCAGACATTCCATTTTATATCATTTGTTTTTGCATACTTTCTTGGTTCCAACAACAGTTGCATCTCAGTAGAAGCAATTTTCTTGTGAAATTATAGCAATATAAAAATCAGGTAAACCTCCCCCCCCCCCAAAAAAAAACAACACAC